GTGGATGTCTACCTCTTCTCTCTCTGTTTACCTTCCTGCACCTGTACGTCACACCCACACACACCGGGCCACTGTCTTAAAGGGGCAGGGCTGGCCGGTGACACTACCCCAACTCTGGATGATGATTAAAACTTTAACATCACTCCAGCATGTTACATCTAAATAAAGCAAACATGAGACATTATAAATTCAAACATTTCCCACCGCAACCCTTGTTTCCCACAGTCTTTGAATGAGCCTTCCTGTTGTGGCAAAACAATTTCAGGTGAAGGACCACGTTAATATAACGTCCACGGAAGCATGCCGCATAGCCTTCTCATAGGGATGTAACCGAACAGCAAAATAACATTCACAGTCCTCACATACTGAAGGAAGTGATGCTGTCCATTAAACTACTTAAATCGAATCTTCTGTGACATAACTCTTCAGACACAAGAGAAGTTAGGGGTAACACCTTAATTACATATATAAACAAATCCAATTCCCTTTTGTTTGTGCACATCTCTACTGTATTCTCAAGTTAACTTAAAGGCGCAGGGTGTTAAAACCAAGATATGCAGCTAAACAGTGTCCAGATCACTCCACTTAGTCAGCTAACTAACTAAATAGGCCCATAAAAGTATGCAAACATGTACAAACATTTACAGCTTCAAACATTTCTGGAACTCTTTTTTTTTTCTCTCTGAGGAGGGCAGCGATCCGCCTACACCCTACCTCAGGTCTGGAAGGTTCTTCTCTTTCCTTTAAACTGAGTTCAGTGACTAACCCAGTCACCAAACATGTCTGGTGGTCGGTGACCCCTCTGGGGTCTCTGAAGAGGCATGAAGTTCAACAGAGGACAATGACCCTGTCCCCCGACAGGAGACTGGGTCCCAGCCCCATCCAGTTGGGGCTGAGCAGGAAGAACAGGAAGCTGGCTGCCATTAGGCTGGTCTGAAGATGAGGAGTAGAGACCCGGAAGGGCCTCCAGGGCTGAATCCTCGGTGTCTGATGAAGCGTTGACCAGGTTACGGCTGTTGACGTCTGGAGTGAGGAAGCTGGAGTCTGGTAAAGGTGGCCACACCTCCACTGGTGCCCAGGTGTCAGCATCTTAGAGGACCCAGCTAGTGTCCAGCGGGGCCCTAGAATGATAGGGCTTGAGCCTGTCATGGTGGACTACTTTGGTCTTTGCTCTTGGGCTCTTTTTGATCCGGTAGACCAAGTTGTCCAGCAGTCCCACAACGAAGTAGGGGCCCTCGTAAGAAGGTAAGAACTTCCGTACCTTGTTTTTCACCCTCTTGGTGCCTTTTATCAGGTACCAAACTGCATCACCAACTTTGTGTTGGGCCTGACAATTTTTGTCGCACTTGTCGTTTGGCCCGTTCAACAGATTTTCCCAGCACCTCCCGTGCCAGCTGGTGTGAGAGCTCCAGTCGTTCCCTGAGCTGCTGGACATACTGTGGTTGTGTGCTTAAGTTGTCAGTGTCCAGGGGCAGACCAGCAACCAGGTTGATTGGCTCAGTTATCTCTCTTCCAAAGAGCATCATGTTGGGTGTCAGGCCTGTGGAGCTGTGTTTGGTTGGCCATCACTGCATACAGAATCATGACATCCCAGTCCCAGTGGCAACGCTTGGCAGTGGTGGCCAATATTTTCTGTAGGGTGGCATTAAAGCGCTCCACTTGGCCGTCGGACTGAGGATGAAACGGTGTTGTTCGTGTCTTGTTACTCCCCAGCAGTGCGCACATCTCCTGGAACACGGCCGACTCAAAGTTGGTACCATGGTCACTGTGCAGGCACTGTGGAGCTCCATATCTACACACCCACTTGGAGGCGATCTTCTCTGCCATTGTCACTGCTTGCTCATTGGGAACAGGGTAGGCCTCCACCCATTTGCTGAAATAGTCTTGTACTACAAATATGTAGCGGTTATGCCTCTGTTTCATTTAGGGGTCCCATTAAATCAACCACTATCCTCTCCATGGGAGCACCAACCCACACTGTGCCCATAGCAGCCTGAGGGCTTTATTGTTACGAGATTGTTGTTATCATAGTTATTATCCTTGGTGATCTTTATGTTATAGTATGCTTTTTATGTTCTTTTTCAGGTGTAGTGATTAGGAGGTTTATGATCATTTCAATCGGCGATTCAAGGCTTAGGAAACTGTGTGTTCTTTGATTGTTTCTTCCTTGTCTAGTGTGTGGTGTGCACAGGATGTGCAGTGAATGGGTAAAATAAGAAGGAGCGCTGGGAATCAACGAATATTGGTCAGTTCTGCGCTAGGCAGTAAGGCCGGTCACCTGTCCTATGCAAGCATGGCTAGCCCAATCTGATAGGTATTCAGATTAGCTTTTATGTTGTGGTAGAACTCCTTTTAGATGGATTTTTGATTCTTGTCATAATACCCTGTGGTCCTATATATGCTTTTGTGGTTTCTATTACTCTTGCTACTACTCTCTTTCCTTTTATCATGGGGTCTGCTCCCTTATACAAGAGTTTGTCATGCTGTCATTCCGTTTCATCAACGGTGGTCTCCGTAGATTAATACGGCAATAAAAAATATAATTATTGAGCGCTTCTTAGAGTACCTAATAAGCACCTGCAAGATTTCAACCATTTCACACTCAGTGTGAGGAGAGGTTAAGAGGTAACCATGCATCGTCTGGCTGGTGTGGACAGCCGTTTCCTTTGTTCTGAAGGAATTGCAGGAAACGTGACAAAGAAACGTCAAAAATGTGGGTGACGCCGATGACAATTCTCCGTTTAAGAAGCTGAATTGAAGTGCCTAACAGATATAACACACTGTACTACGGGTCACCTATTGATGGCCTCGCAGTTTTCTTCAGTTATAAACCAAAGCACCACTATTGCAATAGTGGATACTTGCTGCACTTCCCAGCTTTCCATCGCAGTTTTAGAAAGCAACAAGATAGTGATCGTGTTCCACAGTCAGCTGATTGCCATCCCAGTCTGAGCTGACTTTTCTCTTCCATGGCTTGTTGCCTACGGTACTCGTTGCTAACTGACTGCATATTGACTTTACTGTTCACCGTGTTTCAATCTCCTGTATCACAGCGTGCGGGAGGTGTAAACTTGTAGCTACGGAGGGCACTTTTGATGTTGGCTGCCTGGTCATTCCAAGCTGACTTTTGGTAAAACGATAGCTTCAATACAAAGTCCATGAGCCCTTGTCACCTGCTCGTGAAGGTGTAAGCGTCTTTTAAGAGAGAGTCAAATTCAGCTGTCTTATGAGCGACTCTTCAATTCCAGTCTTTCACTGATGAAGGTGACCGAAATCTGTGTATGCCGTTGTTGTAATTGTCAGTCACCATGTCAGGGTAATGCAATCACAATTCAGACGTTATTAATCTCTTTTGAGGATTCTTTTTTTTCTGTGGCCGTTCGCTTTGGCTCTGTCGCAGGCGTTGCTCGAGGAGTACACTGCTGGCTTCCACACGTCCATAACATGCACAGGCTCGGTGGCTCAAGATTGACTTGCGTTGGTTTTGTTACCTTTATGACCTATGAGAACGGATCCTTCTTCTTAGACCCCCTCGACAAGACACTGTCTTGTCATGCTGACCGTACCCGTCTTGGGGCTCTACATAGCGTGTAATAGCTAGCCACAGGAAATTGCACTTTACAAGCCAATGCTGCTGTCGCTATGCACTAACTACCTCACAGAAATATTGTCCCAACTGAGATTTTACAGCTTGCTCTTTCTTCTTTAACTCTGTATTTCCGAATACATTTATTACAAGATTAGTGTAGTGAGTTTACAATAAGTGTCAAGTGTGCTGTACTTGACGCTATGTTGGATAGTTGAGTCA